TACACAAGCCATGTGTAAATATATTTAAATAGCCATGCATAGTTTAGTTCAATTGAATGTGAAAAAGCTTGTAAATACACGACGATCCCTGTTTAATGTGGAGCAGAATAAGGTCGTTTCAGGCCTAACTTTAACAAATAAAAAAAATCGTTTTTGAGTGCTTGCCTTGGATTCAAATGTGCAATGCGCTTAATGCAATTAGCGTCGGTAATCACCTAATCGGTATTTCAATCCTCATTTGATACATGGCAGTCTGGCAAGTGCTTACTGTCAAGTTGGATGCGTCACCGAAGTAACGTATCTTAGGCCTCGGGAGCAAAATAGTTGTTTCTTCATTTTTCGTTCTATTTTTTCACCCCTTACGATGTCTAAAGAAAACAGACTGTCATACACAGCTAAATTTAAATTAAGTGTGATTAATTATGCAAAAGAGCATGGAAACAGAGTGGCCGAAAGATATTTTGGTCCTCCACCAACAGAAAAAATGATTCGTTGCTGGTGCGAACAAGAAGAAAAATTGAAAATGATTAAAAGCGATAAAGGCAATTTCCGAAGAAAAAACAAAATAAAATGGCAAGATCTCGAAAATAAACTGCGCGAATGGGTTGTGGATCAGAGAAGGCAAAAGGACTATCCGTTTCTACAAATATGATAATTTTTAAAGCAAAGAGAATTGCATCTGATAATAGTTTAGAAGACTTTACTGGTCATACATTGTGGTGTTATCGGTTCATGAAACGCAAAGGCCTAGGTCTGCATGTGGGTGAAGAATTCGTGGGAAAAAGTAGGAAGTGATATAGTGATTAAGTAATTTAAGAAATGTGGTATCAGTAACGCAATGGATGGGACCGAGGATGACATTCTCTTTGACCATAATATTGCATCCAATGATTCCTTTCCAAGCGACACTGAAAGCAATGAAGATTTTGTGGGTTTTGAACCAAACTAAATAACAGTAAACCTTTTTTGATTTACGGTATTTTCTTATTTGGATGTTTTGAGCTCTTTTGTGTTTAGAACAATATATACTAA